TGTTTCATGGGTGGGCCGGGTGGCACATCGATGCATTCTCAAGCACGATCCTTTAATCAACGAGGACCTGGATGGCATTAACACTCGAGAATCTTCTCGCTTTAACGCAAATACGCGTTCGTTTGCCAATAGTCTTCGCGTCATCTCTTCCAATTCTTGTGTTATTTTCATGGAAATGGTTCACAGATTTTTCTTTTCTTTTTTTTTGGATTTCTTTGGAAATATCATTGATAAAATAATAATTTTCTTTCAACGATTAATTCTTTATTATAACATAATTTTATTTTTCCTCAATAACCCTATCTCTTTTAATCCCTGTGTTATTTTCATGGAAATGGTTTACAGATTTTTTTTTTTTTTTTTGGATTTCTTTGGAATTCAAAATATCATTGAAAAAATAATAATTTCCTTTCAATGATTAATTTTCTATTATAACACAATTTTATTATTTCTTAATAATTTCTTTTAATCCCTGTGTTATTTTTATAGAAGTGGTTCACAGATTTTTTTTTTTTGGATATTTTTGGAATTCAAAATATTATTGATAAAATAATAATTTCCTTTCAACTTCCAAGTTAATTCTTTATTATAATACAATTTTATTCTTTCTCAATAACTATCTCTTTTAATTCCTGTGTTATTTTTATGGAAGTAGTTCACAGATTTTTCTTTTTTTGGATTTCTTTGGAATACAAAATATCATTGACAAAATAATAATTTCCTTTCAATGATTAGTTTTCTATTATAACACAATTTTATTATTTCTTAATAATTTCTTTTAATCCCTGTGTTATTTTTATGGAAGTGGTTCACAGATTTTTCTTTTTTTTTTTTGGATATTTTTGGAATTCAAAATATCATTGATAAAATAATAATTTCCTTTCAACTTCCAAGTTAATTCTTTATTATAATACAATTTTATTCATTCTCAATAACTATCTCTTTTAATCCCTGTGTTATTTTTATGGAAGTGATTCACAGATTTTCTTTTTTTGGTTTCTTTGGAATTCAAAATATCATTGACAAAATAATAATTTTCTTTCAATGGTTAATTCTCTATTGTAACACAATTTTATTCTTTCTCAATAACCCTATCTCTTTTAATTCCTGTGTTATTTTTATGGAAGTAGTTCACAGATTTTTCTTTTTTTGGATTTCTTTGGAATACAAAATATTATTGACAAAATAATAATTTTCTTTCAATAGTTAATTCTCTATTATAATATAATTTTATTCTTTCTCAATAACCTTCACACCATCTCTTAAATCTCTGAGATATTTCCATGGAAATGATTTACAGATTTTTTTGGATTTTTTGAGGATTTTTCCAAAATATCATTGATAAAATAATAACTCTTTAACTTCTTTTCAATATCAATCAAATATTTTTCCTCTCTGTTCATAACACGAATTTTAAATTCCTTGGAACACTATAAAATCCTAACCTAAAAATATATATATATATATATACATATATCACAAATTTTCCTTTTTTAGACTTTTTTAGAATCCAAATAACTCCTTAACTTCCTTTCAACACAATTTCAATCAAATATTTTTCCCCCTCTGTTCATAACACGAATTTTAAATTGAAACACTACAAAATCCTAACCTAAAAATATATATATATATATACATATATCACAAATTTTTCTTTTTTTGGATTTCTCTAGAATCCAAAATATCATTGACAAAATAACAACTCCTTAACTTCCTCTCGACACAATTTCAATCAAATATATTTTATTTTTCCAAATTTTAATAAATTCCTTGTCACACCAGAAAATCCTAACCTAAATATACCTATCACTAAAATAACACCTTTTATCTTCCTCTCAATACACGCGTGGAATCTTTCTCACTCTATACCGTTGCCTACGATCCATTTATCCGAAATGATCCAACGAGCAAGCAGAATGGTGGCGAGTCGAGATGTCCTCAAAAGGGGAAGCGTCGTCCGATTAAACAGTGCGTGACAAGCGATCAGCTTGCACCGAGTAAACAGCTCCTACACTGGGGGCTGTGTAACCTTTGGCCGGTAAAATTGGACCGCGTTGGCGGGCGGTGATCCGTAGGCCGTACCAGAAGAAATCGCCAACCCCGAGCGGCGGTGGAGGCAGCAGAACGGGTTGGCGATCGCGCAGAAGCATCACCACGGCGGGTGCACCGGCTCACCAGCACCACGTGATCGCCAGTGCCGCTGCAACTGCACAGGCCAAGATGCAGGCCGAACAGGGGAGCATCGGCGAGCTTCGGGGCTACCACAACCTCAGATCAAGGAGACACACTTTGGCCAATGTTCGGTGAGTACCTCGTTTCCTTTCGGTCAAATCTTTGGATTTGCAATTTTTCTCTAGAGCCATCGGAATTTTACGGGACAAATTTAAAATTTTAATCATAGGATAGCAAATTTTTTCTGAGCCATCAGAATTTTACGAATCATATTTAAAATTTTAATGATCATAGGATCATTTTAATCATAATCATAGCAAATTTTTCTGAGCCATCAGAATTTTACGAGTGAAATTTAAAATTTTAATGATCATAGGATCATTTTAATCATAATCATAGCAAATTTTTCTGAGCCATCAGAATTTTACGAGTCAAATTTAAAATTTTAATGATCATAGGATCATTCTAATCATAATCATAGCAAATTTTTCTAAGCCATCAGAATTTTACGAATCATATTTAAAATTTTAATGATCATAAGATTATTTTAATCATAATCATAGCAAATTTTTCTGAGCCATCAGAATTTTACGAATCATATTTAAAATTTTAATCATAGGATCATTCTAATCATAATCATAGCAAATTTTTCTGAGCCATCAGAATTTTACGAATCATATTTAAATTTTTAATGATCATAGAATCATTTTAATCATAATCATAGCAAATTTTTCTGAGCCATCAGACGAATCATATTTAAAATTTTAATCATAGGATCATTCTAATCATAATCATAGCAAATTTTTTTGAGTCATCAGAATTTTACGAGTGAAATTTAAAATTTTAATGATCATAGAATCATTTTAATCATAATCATAGCAAATTTTTCTGAGCCATCAGAATTTTACGAGTGAAATTTAAAATTTTAATCATAGGATCATTCTAATCATAATCATAGCAAATTTTTCTGAGCCATCAGAATTTTACGAATCATATTTAAAATTTTAATTGTAGGATCATTTTGATCATAATCATAGCAAATTTTTCTGAGCCATCAGAATTTTACGAGTCAAATTTAAAATTTTAACCATAGGATCATTTTAATCGTAATCATAGCAAATTTTTCTGAGCCATCAAAATTTTACGAGTCAAATTTAAAATTTTAATCATAGGATAATCAAATTGCGTGTAAATTTCAAAGAAGCGATTTATATTTTAAAAATAAAATAATTGGAAGAGAGCGTTTAAGTTTTCTATTCTCTGTATAACATAATGTTTTTTTGCAAGTATTCTCGTGAAATGGAAATTAAATTTGAATTTAATTTATATAAATACAGAATATATATTTTATAGAGGTGGATTAATAAGATAATAATTCATTGACCTTTTGTCACGCTTTACTTGTTGCTCGTAGTATTGATTGTTGAATAGCGCGACTGTTGTGCTGGACAGCGCGTGGACAGTTCATTTTATTTAATCTGAATTAGAATTTATAAACGCGTCCACGAATTGTATTTTTCAATACTTTTTTTTCCCCTTTTTTAAAGAAAACGAGTTTACGATATAATAACTTTTCAGACGAAAATAGATGGAATGAATCATGATTCTATGGCTATATATTTCGCCGATGAATCATTCCGATTAAACCGAAATTCGTTTTGAAACCAATTTACTTGGTGACAAATTGTAATTAGACGGTGCCAACTACTTTGTATGATCTACGAGGTAGTGAAATCTTGCTGCCGCGCATCCTCCTCTTAATATCCTCTATTCTATTAATGCGAGAATAACGTTTAATAAAAATAGAATTGTTTTATATTCGAGCTTTAAATAATTTTTGTTTTTTTTTTTTTTTTCATTTATTATTACCAATTCATTCGAAATCAATTGTTACATAGAAAAACGCGATAAAAGCATGATGAGCACAACAATAAATGAAGATATTTGTTTTCGACACAGCATTTATAGACCATTTACATTTTCCATAAATGCAAAACAATTAATAAATATCCATCCAGTGGATATATCATACTGGATGGTCACAAATGTTTTCACTTCTTCCTTAGTCGAATAATCTGAAATTTAATTTCATGCCAACATGGTTGATCCTATTATGCTTGGACCGAATGAAAGGATGGCCTCCCGATACACAATAGCTGAGCATTATTGATTTTAAAAGCGCGTCATTCGACCAACGCGACGTTATTGAAAATTATGTACCGTTTCCTTTGTCGTATTTATCTTATCGACTCCGTTTCCGTGTTCACTCGATCAAAAGCCTTTGCCGTTAGATTCTTCGCCCAGAGAATTTTCCTTTTTCAGATTAAACTTAATAACCCACTTTCTATCTCTTTAAATCGTTTCAGAAATTGACTTTGTATTATTATGTGTTATTGATAGATAATATTGAATATCTTCAATTACTTATCATCGTGATTTAATATAAAGAGTCCAAAATGAAACATCTATAATGTGATTCTGTCACAAGTTGTTCACAAGTTAATTTCACAAGTGATAAAAGAATAAATATATGTCATTCAACATGTGGAAAATTGTTGACTCCAATATCACGATATACACTTGATATAATTTATAATAAAATGTTGAAAAATAATATTGGACTTTACGACATTATGTATTCAGAAACTGGAAGACAAGGACTCAAACATTCCATTCACTTCACACGATACCAAGTTCATGAACGTTCATGGTTCGTAATAAGTCACGTTTCAAACAATGTTACATGTTACATGTACAAGATGAACGATCGTAAATACATTTCGTTAAGATGTCACTAGATCCACGACAAGATTTACAGGGAGACGAGATCAATCAATGTCACCACAGGCACAATGCACTCTTTTCAGTCCTTCTTTAGTCTCTATTATACCGCTGCAGGAGCATAGCACCGAATCTTCATCCTCATCATTGTCTATCTTTTTTGGCTTTCGTTTCAATTTGGGTATCTTCGCTGTACAACCTTGATCCATCTTTTCCTTTTTCATTTTGCATGGAAAAGCTTTTGTGAGGGCCTTGGTCGGTATCGGTGCACAGGTACAGATCTCTTGATCACACGTGTGCTTCTTAGGTACCTTCTTCAAAGGATCTTGCGCCTTCAGAACCTTTTGAATTTTTTTAAGTTTGCAATCTGTGCAAAGAGCCTCGTGTTGAGGTGGCTGGATGGTGGCAGGTTTTTTCAACGTTGGATAAGCCGACTCGTACATTTCAGGCAATTTCTTTCCACATTTACAACAATTGCATTTCGCTTGCTCCATCTCTTCAGACTTCTTGGTATAATAGATGGATCTAAGTTCTTTTTCAGGGCCGGGTTTCATGCTCTCCGTTTTCAGAGATTGCATAGCAGCGGAAAAAGTTTCATAGGGAGCAGTAGTGGTAGTGGTAGCGGAAGAAGGAGGATAAGAATAGCCACTTAAACTCCTGGCTTTCATACGAAGAGACGAACTCTTTTCAATTTTCGAACTTTTTTGAATTGTCATGAATATTTCCTGCTCCCTTAAAGGCTGTTTAAATATCAATAGTTTCTGAATCGTTTCTGGATCTGGATTTATCGCTTTTGTAATAGTTACTAATTGGGGTTGTTGGGGTAATCTTGGAATCGTTTGTGTCTCGACATCTGCCACTGTTTGAGTGATCACTTGAACGGTTTCGATCCTTGTGATTTCCGTCTGAGTAATTTCAATCTTTCTAAGAGGTTTCTGAAATGGCAAATGGCGGAAGAATGTTATTCTAATTAATCAGATCAAGGTGATTACTTTTGAACGCAAGAAAAATTCTTCATAAATGATTGATTGGAAAAAGTTAAAAAAACAATCAGTATTCATACTAACAGGAGGACGGAAAGGTGGACATGTGCAAATTCCTTCTTCTTCTTCCGGCTTTATTGGTTCTTTTGGTGGTATTACTGGTGGTACAATTTCTGGTACAACTTCTGGTACAATTTCTGGTTCAACTTCTGGTACAACTTCTGGTTCAACTTCTGGTACAATTTCTGGTACAACTTCTGGTACAACTTCTGGTTCAATTTCTGGTACAATTTCTGGTATAACTTCTGGTACAACTTCTGGTTCAACTTCTGGTACAATTTCTGGTACAACTTCTGGTATAATTTCTGGTACAACTTCTGGTACAACTTCTGATACAACATCTATTACAACTTCTGGCACAATTTCTGATACAACTTCTGGTACAACTTCTGGTTCGACTTCTGGCACAACTTCTGGTACAACTTCTGGCACAACTTCTGGTTCAACTTCTGGCACAATTTCTGGCACAACTTCTGGCACAACTTCTGGCACAACTTCTGGTACAACTTCTAGTACAACTTCTGGTTCAACTTCTGGTTCAACTTCTGGCACAACTTCTGGCACAACTTCTGGTACAACTTCTGGCACAACTTCTGGCACAACTTCTGGTTCAACTTCTGGCACAACTTCTGGTTCAACTTCTGGCACAATTTCTGGTACAACTTCTAGTACAACTTCTGGCTCAACTTCTGGTACAACTTCTGGCTCAACTTCTGGCTTAACTTCTGGCTCAACTTCTGGTACAACTTCTGGCTTAACTTCTGGTACAATTTCTGGTTTATCTTCTGGCTTAATTTCTGGTATTTCTTCTTTAATTTCTTCTTTGTACTCTAATGGCACCACAATTTCTTCTTCTTCTTCTATTGGCTCCTTTTTGATCTCTTCTTCTTCTATTGGCTCCTTTTTAATCTCTTCTTCTTCTTTAATATCCTCTGGAGCCATTTCTTCTACTATAGGAACTTTCTCTTCTTCTTTTACTTCTGGTAATACTTCCAATTTACGCACTACTTCTGATATTTCATCTTCCTTCTCCACGACTAAGGTTGATACCAATGGCGAGGAAGGCGGTTCTGAAGGAATTTCAGGTTCTAATTTTACTTCGACCATTTCTTCGCGGACTACAGGTTTTGCTTCTGCAGCTATTTCAATTTTTGGCTCCACTTCAGGCTCGACTTGTATTTCGATTTCTTTTGGCGGAGGTATTTCTTCGCGAACTCTAAGTTTCACAATTATTTCTTTTACTTCAGTCTGAAAAAGATCGATGTAGTTAAAGTATCGTTGATCGCGAAGAAAGTAAATATTAAAATAGTTCAAATATCAAATTCAAATAATTTTATCACTTTATAATTGTACAATATATTTATCGTATTTTATCGCGATACTTACTTCAGTATATGCTGCCATCTTTGCCGCCAACTTGTCGGCATCCTCTTTTACGGTCACGCAATCAGGACATTCCTAAATTTGGAAACGTTTAAGAGAGTTTGATATCGTGTTAAATGATTGTGCAATTAAAATCAAACAAATATTATAATGTAATTAATACCGCTATCGTTGCTCTGATCGTATCAACATCATCTTCCCACGATAACATTTCTTTTCGTGGGACAATAATATTATCCGTATCAATTGGTATATCTTCTGGTCTTTCAACTTCGATAGGAGGTTCAGGAGGATAAACTTCTGGAATGGGTTTAATTTCTTCAATAGGTGTTGGCTCCTCTACTGGTATGATTTCTTCTTCCACTTTGATAACTTCCGGTGGTATAACTTCCGCAATAGGTTCAATAGGTTCTTCTATTGGTATAACTTCCGCAATAGGTTCAATAGGTTCTTCTATTGGTCTAATTTCCTCGACAGGTGTAATTTCTTCTATAGGCCTAATCTCCTCAACAGGTTTCACGTCTTCCACAAATGGTTCAGGCACATCAATCTTTTCTTCTATAGGTGTAATTTCCTCGACAGGTTCATATTCAGGTATTTCCACCTTAACATCTGGCTCTACTTTAACAACAGGTTCAATTTTCTCAATGGGTGGTGGAGGTTCAATTTCTATTTCCTCTTTTATAGGAATAGGTGGTTCATCGATAACTGGTTTTTTAGCAATTAGGTCTTCTATATTTATTTGCCACCCATGTTCTTCTAATAATTGCTGTGGCGAGATAAGATTTTCCTTCAATGCAGTCATTTCTTCTTCCGTTAAACCAGTTTCAGTGAGCACTACATCGTTACAAATGAAATCTCGAGGACAGACAAAATCATCATCATATTTATCCAATTCAGAGAGAGATGTTATTTGCCCCAAATATTCTGAAGCTTCTTCTAACATTGCTTCTTGATAAACAAAATCCTCCGGTTTGATTTCCACTTCTTCATCCTCCACTTTTACAACATCGGTGTCTATTTCAACATCGATCGTCTCAGGTACAGCTTCTACCTCAGCCTCTATTATCTCAGGTTTTATCTCTATTTCGTCTTCAACCACATCAGGTTTAATTTCTACGTCAACCTCGACTAACTCTGGCTTCACTTCCAAATCGACATCAATTATCTCTGGCTTCACTTCCACCTCATCCTCAACTATCTCTGGCTTCACTTCCACCTCATCCTCAACTATTTCCGGGACCGCTAAAACATCCTTCTCCACTATATCCATCTCAGTTATAATTTCTTTCTCTTCGATTTCCGCATAATCTTCGACCCCTACCAATTCCTCTTTTATATCTACTTTAACCTCTACATCTATGTCAAGCACATCGGCAAAGTCCTCCTCTTTGCCCACCAAAGCCTCTATCTTGGTCACGCTAAGGTACTTCTCCAATTCACCCCTGCAGGTGGACAGTCTTGATCTGAGCTTCTCTATCACATCTTCCAACTCGACAATTCGATCTGCCATCTGTTGATTTGCCGCCGTCTTCATTTCTAATTGCTCCTGCAAACTGCTTATGGTACTTGCAACATCGCTGTCCAATTTACACCAAAGATCGTCCGCTTGTTGGAGCGTTCTCATATAGGCGTCCTCCCTATTCTCCAACTCGGCGATTTGTCTCTTCATGTACAATTCAGTCTCGGCCAATTCCTGAAGCTTTTCTAAACACTCGATATCGGTCGATTTAATCGACGCGTTGCTAGGCAGTTTCTTTAACCACTTCTTTTTGCACTCTATTACCCCGCACTCGCCTGCACGCCAATAAATAAATCTAAACTTAGAGACCGATCCGATCCTCGATCACGAGATCCACGTTTCATTCATATAATTTCTTAACACGTTTACACAATTACAAACGAAACGAGTTTCGAGGGAAACATTTATTCAACTAACCAGCCTCGCACGAGCGATCGTCCTCGTCCTCCACCTTGTAAGCCTCTTTCAATTTCTGTGCCTCGACAGTTAGCTTCTCGATCTTTCCCTTCATCTCTTCCTGAAGGATCTTAACCTCGCCCAACCTCCTCATCTTGTCCTCCAACAGAGCTTCCTTCTCGGTCCAAAGATTCTTAGCCTCGTCCATCCTCCTCTGAGCCTCCTTCCTCTCCGCCTCGACCTCCCTCACTCTGCAATCGAAATGTCGGCTGGGCGTCTTCGGGCAATACACCTCCCCCGAAGCTGGCCCTTGGAACTGCTTCTCCATGATACGCTGGAGATTAGGCACACACGTCCCTTGAGCCATCCTCCAGATATTCCACACCATCACGGCCGGCATGGAGCATTCCAAGATGTTCAATCGATGCTTCAGATCCCCCTGTTGCTTCTCCAATTCTTCGTTCTTCAGCTCACGATTTATTATCATCTCTTTGAACTTGCGCTGGCATTTTCGATACGTCTTCCCGGATTTTGGATTTTGTTTTTGGGACGCGTCCTTGCCCAACTGGCCCAGAGACGTGGACTTTTTGAAGTCCTCCTGGTTCTTCGATCCTTGGGTATCGTGCCCGTCCGTCGGCATCCCATCAGAGAATGGATTTTCTTTCGGATTCGATTGAATGGACGTGTCTTGGGTCGGAAGCGAACTTATGTATTCGAGTTTGCTCCTCGGCGCGGACGAGGGCTCGGATATTTTCGAAGCGTCAAAATCTAAATCATCCTCCATCGTATCCTCGCCCACGCCCCATTCATTTATTTCTTCGTCCATGATACTCGTCCTTTTGCTTTAATCGCTTCTAGTTTCTGCTTGAATCACGGTTTCACCTGCTTTCAACAGTTTTTTAATTGAAGTAGTTGATTTTTAGTTGTAAAAGGAGTAAAGGAAAAAGAAGGAATGCACGAGTAATTTATAGTTGAAAGCAGTAATTGTTTTTTGAGATTCGGGGTAAAGGTGTTGGAATGAAAATCAAATTGAGATTCTGATGAAAGATATGATGTCAATTTAAATTGTTATTGTTATATATTATTAAATGTAATTATTATTTCAATGTGATAAATCTGTTTGTAATTTAATTATTGTCATAATATTTCCATACGAACGAATTTCAAATAATAAGGAATAAATGATTCTAGTGAAGATTTTTTCTTTGACATTTAAAACGACGTTAAAATTTACCTAACCGATGGATTTATTTGTAAATTTTGTCAAAAGTGCGCATTATTCCGGAAAGAAAATAGTTTTATTTGCGATTCTACTTGGTTAAAGTGAGTCATATCTTTGTCAAAAATACTGATTTAATTTTGGAGCTCGTCCAAATGCGGTTAACGTTGATATATTTCAGATACCCATTACTGTAGATTCAACAGATTGATTTCGTTGGAAATCACGATTGATTTCCGTTTACTCCATTAATTTCATAATTTCGTTTGAACGTAGCCACGATGATATCGAGTATCGAGAAATTTTCTATCGATCGATCACTTTCCATCTTCTTTCTTCTCTTCCAATTTCGCGCTGAACGCGATAACGCGAAATATGTTATAAATGGCATATATATATATATTTAAACAACGTGAATTGTATCTTCCAAACACTTTCTACTTTAAATCTTTCGTTTCAATTTTCCGATATATATTCAAACAATTTTCGTTTACTCTCATCCTAATAAAAATTCCTAATAAATTTATTTATTCCTTTATACCCAGGAAAATGTTCTAAATTCCAAATACCAAAATCTTCTTCTAACACTCGAGCAACCGATTCCAAACATTCCTCGACCTTATTTTCTTTTCAACCGCGGTGAAACGAAGTCGGGCATAATGGATTTATCATCGATATTTTTTTACGACGTTGAAAATGCCAGCCTCTGAATCGTAAAGGAGCCATGCTATGAGGCAAATGGTACGTGAAATCTCGCGAGAATTTGCCCCTCTGAATGCGGAATGCATTTTCATCGCGTTCACCGTTCGATGCGTTACGATAACGGCCAATGTGTTTCGAGACGAAAGAGTCGTTAGTTCTGTCAACCGGATCGATCGAGAAATCGATTTTTCGAAAAAAGAAGGGTGGAACCTGGTTGGCCCGTGTAAGCCTCGCCTTGTTTCTCTTCGTGTCGTTCAAATGCTTCGTTCCATCCTTGTTGGGAGAACAATATGGAAAATTTGAATTTTCTTTTCCCAGCTACGTTTGTTTGGAAATAGTTTGTTGTAGAACTTTCTCTTTCCCCGTGTAAATTTAAATTTCTATTTCTATCTCGCCTCGCGTATTTTTCGTATAACGCGTATCCTTCTCACTTTGTCCATTCTCATATTCTATTTTTCATTCTTCCATTTCCCCCTCTGTTTATCCATTTATCCTCCGATATTTCATATGTATATATGTATATATATCTTCTTGTCCCATTTTCGTCCTATTTCCATTCCTCTTTATTTGTAGGGGAATAATTTTTTCTTTTTTTCCAAAAATTGGGAAGGATATAAAATGTAAATATTAGAGTGAATGTTGGAACATTATTGGAAACGTTATTCTCGAATCTGTATCTGCGTATATCGTTCAATCCGCCTCTTTCTCTTGTCGAGTTTGACGTTTACAAGTTACGCATAAATTTCCCTCCCTCCCTCCCTCCTTCCCCTGTCATTCCATCGATTTGATTCGCCTCCCGTGTTGTGAAAAAATATGGGGGTATATGGGATAGGAGAAAAGGGGGTGTATAAAGGGGAGAGAAATATTTTAACAGGGGAGAAAGTTTGCATTAGATTGATGTATCGATCGGTGGACCGGATCTAAATGTAATTTACACGTTCATTTATTTTCCAACGATCTGTCTTGCTTCCATCCTCCTGTTTCTCCCCTCGTCTACCTTCGCTTCTACCTCTATATATTTTCATCTGACGCAACAAGTTTTTATCATTTTTTCTTTTTTTTTTTTTTTTTCTTTTTATGGAATGAAATCACTATTGGCAAATGTTAGAAAGAGAGATCGTATTTCTCTGTTTTCAATGCCAAGAGCAGGTAAGAAAATTCTTTGATATGAAATTGATTGATCTCAGAATTTTATTTTTTATTTCAAAAATGTTATTATTAGTAATCGCTTTTATATTCTTTTTCCTACATGTAGTAATAATCGAAATAAATAAATAATTATTGAATAGAAAAATTGAAAAATCCTCTGTTGTTCACAGTTTTATATATATATATTTCAAAAAACTCTATCCTTACGTGGAATAATAATCGAAATAAGTAAATAATCATTAAATAGAAAAATTAAAAAATTTCTCTATCGTTCACAGCTCTCTCTCTCTCTCTCTCTCTCTCTCTCTCTCTCTTTCTCTTTATATATATATATTTCAGAAAACTCTACTCTTATGTGAAGCAATAATCGAAATAAACAAATAATCATTAAATAAAAAAGTTGAAAAATTTTGGTCTGTTACTCACAGCTCTCTATATATATTTCAAAAAATAATCGAAATAAGTAAATAATCATTAAATAGAAAAATTGAAAAATTACTCTGTCGCTCATAACTCTATATATATATATATTTTAAAAAATTCTATTTCTACGTAAAGTAATAATCGAAATAAATAAATCATTAAATAGAAAAATTAAAAAATTCCTCTATTACTCACAGCTCTCTATATATATTTCAAAAAATAATCGAAATAAACAAATAATCATTAAATAGAAAAATTGAAAAATTCCTCTGTCGCTCATAACTCTATATATATATTTCAAAAAACTCTATTCCTACGTGAAGCAATAATCAAAATAAATAAATAATTATAATTAAATAGAAAAGTTGAAAAATTCCTCTATTGCTCACAGCTCTCTATATATATTTCAAAAAATAATCGAAATAAATAAATAATCATTAAATAGAAAAATTGAAAAATTACTCTGTCGCTCATAACTCTATATATATATATATTTTAAAAAATTCTATTTCTACGTAAAGTAATAATCGAAATAAATAAATCATTAAATAGAAAAATTAAAAAATTCCTCTATTACTCACAGCTCTCTATATATATTTCAAAAAATAATCGAAATAAACAAATAATCATTAAATAGAAAAATTGAAAAATTCCTCTGTCGCTCATAATTCTATATATATATTTCAAAAAACTCTATTCCTACGTGAAGCAATAATCAAAATAAATAAATAATTATTAAATAGAAAAATTGAAAAATTCCTCTATTGCTCACAGTTCTCTATATATATTTCAAAAAATAATCGAAATAAGTAAATAATCATTAAATAGAGAAATTGAAAAATTCCTCTATCGCTCATAACTCTATATATATTTCAAAAAATTCTATTCCTATGTGAAGCAATAATAATTGAAATAAATAATTATTAAATAGAAAAGTTGAAAAATTCCTCTATTGCTCACAGCTATATATATTTCAAAAAATAATCGAAATAAGTAAATAATCATTAAATAGAAAAATTGAAAAATTCCTCTATCGCTCATAACTCTATATATATTTCAAAAAACTCTATTCCTACGTGAAGCAATAATCAAAATAAATAAATAATTATAATTAAACAGAAAAGTTGAAAAATTCCTCTATTGCTCACAGTTCTTTATATATTTTTCAAAAAATAATCGAAATAAACAAATAATCATTAAATAAAATAATAAAAAAATAAAACTTGAAAAATTCCTCTATCGCTCACAGCTCTCTTTCCATATACATATATATATATTAAAAAACTCTATTCTTACGTGAACCAATAATCGAAATAAATAAATAATTATTGAATAGAAAAATTGAAAAATTCCTCTATCGAGTTCTCACACTTCTATATATATACTTCAAAAAAATTCCATTCCTACATAAAGCAATAATAAATAATGAAATAAATAAATAATATAGGGAACACATTCGAAAATTCCTCCGTCGCTTTTTTGTGTTGCTCCCAGCTCAATATATTCGTATCGATACAAATTTAAAGCAGATAAAACATTGAAGACGTAATTATGTCGAAAATGCTCAAAGATGTACAACATATACGAAATTGGGATTTCAATACGAATTTAAACATGATAAAATATCAAAGATAAAATATAAAGATATAAAAAATGTTCAGTATATATATACATATTTTTTTTTAAATAAAATACATCGAAATGTGGAAGAAAAATATTCTATACAAAATCACGAATTGTTCCCAATTTCTCGATAATCGACTATCGTGTTAAGCGTCTTATAAAAACCCTTCCCAGTCGGTAAGAAAACTTACCGACTGTTATATTATCATTTCGAATAAAAAAATCAACAAGGATTCTCCAAATCAAGGAGAATCAAGAGAACAGAGGAGGACAGAATTTCTAGATTTAATGTAAGAGGGAGACGGAAGGGAGATGGAAAAATTTCTCCTTCGCCGAAAAGGTGGCTCGAAATAAGAACAAAGGCGATAGGAGGGTTAAACATCAATTTTTTCCGGCTCGGTTTACCGCAGAGGAACAACGTTAAAGGATAAACCGGCCTAAGCCCGGAAAAGCCCTGTTTTATGTCGAACCAGCCTGAAAAGGGGGTTGACCTCGCTCACCCTCCACTTTCTCCGCCGCCCTTCTTTCTGCACCTCTCGCAAAATCAATAGTATCGGTGTAGTACCGAGTTTATCCCGCGCTTCAGACGCGGCTACAGCCAGCCTTCCCCCAAGTTCACAAATTTTTTTGGCCAACACTCGTCCGATTCAAAATTACCTAAGAAAATTAGCATTACTTTTTTCAATGGTGTAATCCATATTTTTGTCCTC